GCACAGAGCCGTCTGTGAATGTGTGTCTCACTGCGAGGGGCACTTGTGCACACACTTGAGTCCACTCATCCTTTTAGTTTCATCTGTGACACTACCGGGATTACACAGTCAACTAAAGCCATGGTGACCTTCCATTAGAGTAAGTATGTTCTTTGGTAATTTCAGTTTCTTTCTTCATTCAGAGTTCTAGTTCCTTGGTCTATGCCAAATATCAAGTTTATCTATTTAAAAATCAGATGGCAATAAATTAATTTGGATAACTCCAGAAAAGAAAAGTTATTTCTAATACTTTTTAGCATTAGAGAAGTGAAATGTGAAGGGATTGAACGCATTATAAATATTTATTACACGCATTAGTAGAGATAGGTCAGTTATCTGTTCACTCTTTCTATCCTTAGTATCTGCAGCAGAACCAGCCATATTACAGCATCCCAATAATTATATCTTGAATGAATTCATGAGTACTTACAAGAACAGGAGGGACAAACAGAAGTGACCTTCCCTACAATGTCACTCTTACCAATCAATACATATAACCAACATGTAACTATAATGCCCTTCATTAGTGTGCCAAGTTATCAGCAATGCTGCCATTAGCAATAGTTATAGTGAGCGAGTTATAAATGCAAATATTCCTTGAAATATACTAAATAGAAAATATACCTGAATGAAAGTGGTTTACCAGATCATTCATTTAATATCCCAGTATCACAGAAGACAATTATTGGTGATTATAAAGGGAGGACAGTTTGGGAGTTGGGAGCAATGCTCTGAGTTAGGATGCCACAGTGAAGCACTAAGAGCATTAGAGTTTTCTGTTTGGTTCAGCAGGGTCAGCTCCCTTATAATACTATCTAAAAGGGTACCTGATTATCAGCTAACTGTTTCTCCCCTGAGTGGAGATTAGGGCTCCTTTCCTATAGAGATGCCTTTAACCATAGGTCATTTCCTATCTACTGTATTCTGACACTGTGATTTGTTTCTGTCTTGAGAGAAATAACATGCCTTGATTCACCAAATCTTAGGAGAATACATTTCCACCTTTCTTGTAGGACAGTGATTGCAAAAAATTAATTGAAACCATTCATATAACAAACTAATTAATTTTTAAGTGGAAAAGCTTTTTTACTCCTTAGAATGGAGGGAAAACAAAAGACATAAACTCTTCACTAACAAAAGGAAGCAGCTGCCCAAATACTTACTTAATAACAGCTGAGAAAGAAATGTGGAATATCTATTGCCTTGTGTCCAAAATTGCAGAGCCTCTGAACTCTGCCCATAGTATTTCTCTGCAGAACACTGAACGGGTTATCAGAGGCACCAAAATCCACATGCTTTATAAAGAATGCAGGAAAGAAAACACAATAGCTGCAGTGGCCATTGATTAATACCCTTATACATTATAAACATAAGTATTAGAGCAAGTTACAGAGCAAAAAAAAGAAGGAAATAAAGGCGATAAAGAAGTAGGGGTAGTGGCTTTAACTTACCATCTACCAGGCACTCTGCACAGATTATTTCAATCAATACTCACAGTAATTCCATGAACTACATATTATGGGGAAAAGTGAGGCTAAAATGGAAAGGAGAAATGAGAACACTGAAGCCTTACTCCAGAGACTATGTAAAAAGTACAGAAAGTATACTTCCTCACTACACATCAGTCCACGGGAAAGCAACAAAGTTGGAGTCATACCTGCTTGACATTAAAAATCAGTTTAAATTTTACCCTTAGGCTCATGTAAATATTTTTAAATCATCCTCAAGGTCATTCTAAAGATCCAGTAAATCATTTTAAAGAAAATACCTTGTATTTGATGTTTAAGACAAATGCAATGCTCACTTATTTATTTGAATATTTATTAGCTGGAAGTACTTCATTAATCTAAATGCTTGTGCATTTGCAACTCAAAATCCACGAATATGTTCCTTCTCTTCCTTTTCACAATTCTTACCTAAAGCCTAAATGAATTAACTTCCATGTAACTGAGAGACAGATGAAGACTTTCAAGGAAATACCTAGCATGGGATAACTCTCCATTAATAACAGTTCAAAACCTTTTTCCACAACATATAGGGGAGAATTAATCATATTTGGGCTTTAGAAAAACGATTGATTGTATTGGTTCTAAAATATCGAATGGGAAAAGCAGAGATATATGTTAAGCACATGTCAATATACTTTCACAATATTTCAGCTATGAGATAAAGATATCCAGGGTACAATTAGTATTGGGAGTGAAAAAGCAAAAGGACCAAGTTAAGAAGATAACAGAAATGGCAAGACCTGGTGAGAAACTGAAAATGGGAGTAAAGAAAAAGATACAATTAAGACTGTTCTTATGACTTAGGACTGACAGGGCAGGAAGCACAGTAACATGCACTATGTCTGAAATCTTGAAACAGACACAACTAGAGGACTCTCAAAAGGAAATAACACGGAGACAAAGTAAGAATGCCTCATACGGTAAGTAGTAATGAGTGTTCACTGTGTTCCAGATGCAGCTGTAGATATTTTAGCTGCATATTTAAAGTTATCAGTACAACCCTAAAACGTGCATACTATTTTTATCTCAATTTTGCACATGGAAAAAGCACAGAACAAAGAAGTTAGGCAGACTGCCCAAGGACACTCAGAAAAGAAAAAGGAAAACTCTAAATTCAAACCTCTCAGTCTGATCTAGATGTCCAAAAATAAGTTGAATGTTGAAGCAAAAATACTGTAAGATGTGTTTTCTCTGCAGATATAAATTTGGGAATTATACCTGATTTGAAGTTCCCTCGTTTATAAGAATCTCCTAGAGAGAGAGAAGAGCGAAAGAAAGGACTGCCTAGAAAAGAGATTTTAGGTCAATTAACGAGTAGAAAGATTAGAAAAAGAAAAGACACCATGAAGGAGAATGCAGACAGAGTGGTAGGAAGAAATCCAGGAAAATGTGAAATAGTGTAAGTTAAGCTGTCATGGCTTCCCTAAGTTAGCAGTTTATTCTCTCTCATGCAGCAGAGAGTTTGAGTTAAACGAAGGCTGAATTGCATTTAATGAGTGAAACAAGAGGGAGGCTAGTCATGGCTTGTTGAGAGTAATTTAATTAGCACAATAATCAGATGAGTTAATCTATAAATGGTTAAAAGGACAAAGAAGACAATTATCACATAGATGGAACGTAAGTGAAAATACAGAAGCAGAAATGAGAAATGGCCAAGTCTTACTAAACCTGATACTGCTAAATGTCATTTATAATAATGTGACTAAGTGTATTTCAAGCTGAAACAAGGTTGACCAAAAACATTTTAAAAATCGGGGATATGTCAAAAGGACACATGCACCCCCATGTTCATAGCAGCACTATTTACAATAGGCAAGATGTGGAAACAACCTAAATGTCCATCAACAGATGACTGGATAAAGAAGATATGGTATATACATATATACAACGGAATACTACTCAGCCATAAAAAGAATGAGATAATGCCATCTGCAGCAACATGGATGAACCTGGAGATTGTCATTCCAAGTGAAGAAAGCCAGAAAGAGAAATAAAAATACCATATGATATCACTTATACAGAGAATCTTTAAAAAAAAGGCAAACTTACTACAAAACAGAAACAGACTCACAGACATAGAAAACACACTTATGGTTCCCAGGGAGACAGGGGGTGGGAAGGGATAAATTGGGAGTTTGAGGTTTGCAGATACTAACTAATATATATAAAATAGATAAACAAGTCTATACTGTACAGCACAGGGAACTATATCCAATGTCTTGTAGTAACTTATGGTGTAAAAGAATATGAAAACAAATATATGTATGTTCATGTATGACTGAAGCATTATGCTGTACACCAGAAATTGACACAACATTGTAAACTAACTATACTTCAATAAAAATATAAATATACAACAATTAATTAATTAATTGAATTTTTAAAAATCAGGGATATGGCTCTTCGGCTCTATAAATATACTCCTAACGTTCCCTTTCTTCTCTGTAATAAATTTTGAACCAAACACATTACAAAACATACAAGGAGTGAAAATACATCATTATCAAATGTGGTTAGAAGGAAATAATAGAATTCAATTTAGAATTTTAATACCAAAAAGCTGTTCTGAATGAGAACCCTTTGGTGGGAAAAGAGAAGCAAGCTCTCAAGATCTAGAGAATATGAAACTGCAAAGCTAGTTAGAGTACACTAGGATTTTCCCTGTCAAAGGAATCAAAAACAATGCAATCCGCCCAAGAATACAATCCCAGAATTCAGCTTGTAAACTGGGGAGAAATTCTCTGAGGAACAAGGATATCCTACGAAGTATAAAAATATGTAACATACTCTATTCTAAGAGTAGGCGGAAAACATAATCAAGGATAAATATTACAAATACTAAATACGTACATTTGAAATAAATTTTCTATGAGGGAAACCTCAAAGTGTTTGGACTGCAGCGCATTTAAATGAATCTTTAAGAAAATATATCCAGTAAAAACGTCTTAAACACACTTCTGAGAAGCTCGACTGGATAGGAAACAGGATAGACTATGTGATAAGTACTCACTGCCAGCTTAATAATAACACACATGTAACTTTAATGCCAGCATCTTAACAAAGACCATTTGGGGGTTACTTCTCTGCTAGAAGCATGTTTGAAAATAACAAATTGGGGGAAAGTAGATTTGTTGACCCAAAAGCAACTTACTGAAAGAGACATTTTTTTCCAATAATATTTACAAGATATGTTGAACTGACACCAAACTAAGTTGTACTTTATCAGAAGCAGCAGTATGAAATACTGATTTTAAAATGAATAGTCAGTTTCTGTGACACAAAGAGGTGATGAAACATTGTCACGTGCTGCGTGCTTGCTTCTCCACTAACCAATTGTATAGGAATCACTCTCAGATTTACTTCGCCTGAGGCTAGAAACTGACCTGGACTCTGGAGTTCCTCATACAAAGTCTTACTGTTTCAAGCAGAAGGGGCAAGAGACAACCATCGAAGATGAAAAACCAAACCACAATAACAACCTTCATCTTGCTGGGGCTGACGGATGACACTCAACTGAAAATTCTGCTTTTCATCTTTCTATTTCTTTCCTACATGTTGAGTGTATCTGGAAACCTAACCATCATCACCCTCACTCTGATGGATTCCCACCTCAAAACACCTATGTATCTTTTCCTCCAAAATTTCTCCTTCTTAGAAATTTCATTCACAACTGCTTGTGTGCCCAGATTCTTGTACAGCATAGCATCCAGGGACAAGTCTATCACCTATAATGCTTGTGCCAGTCAACTGTTTTTCACAGACCTCTTTGCAGTAACAGAGTTTTTCCTCCTGGCCACCATGTCCTATGACCGCTATGTGGCCATCTGCAAACCCCTGCATTACACAACCACCATGAACAGCAGAGTATGCAAGAACTTCATCCTCCTCTGTTGGTTAGCAGCATTGATCATCATACTCCCACCAATCAGTCTGGGTTTGGGCTTGGAATTCTGTGATTCGAATGTCATTGATCACTTTTGCTGTGATGCTTCTCCTATCCTGAAGATCTCCTGCTCAGACACATGGCTGATAGAACAGATGGTCATAGTGTGTGCGGTGCTGACCTTCATTATCACTCTCATGGGT